CCCCAAGCCGGAGCCTCGCAGCAGAGAAGGTGGCCCGCCACCTGGCCTGGCTGCAGCGCCGCCCCATCCTCCCCACAGATCCTGTTTGAGACCTTCAACGTGCCCGCCCTGTACCTGGTCAACCAAGGGGTCCTGTCTCTCTTCTCCTCCGGCCTGACCTCTGGTGAGTGGCCCCCAGGGACCCTGGAGCCCACCCCCACCCCTGCCCTCTGCTGTCCACCCCTCCTGGTCTAGCCCTGTGCTCCCCTCAACACTCAACCACTGAGCCACACTGGCCAGGCTTCTTTATGAATTTTTAGAGCGAGTAGAAGGGGGGAGGGGTTCAGAGAGAGGGAGAGGAACATCGATGTGAGAGAGACGCATCGAGTGTTTGCCTCCCACATCTGCCTGACCCGGGGCCAGGGGTCAAGCCTCTCACCCAGGGACTGGCCCTGGACCTGGAATGGAACCTGTGACCCTTCGGTGGGCAGACCGGCGCTCTAACCACTGAGCCACCGGCCGCGACAGCGATGGGTTGTTGACAGCTACACAGCCCTGCATCCTCGAGGTGTAGCCCCGCGCCGGGCCTGCTGTCCTTTGGTGAACTGCCGGTCCCGTTGCTGCAGCCGTGCCGGGAGTTGGCGTGTGCACGAGGGCGGGGGGCTGCCTTCCGTGACGCCGCCTCTCGGGGGCCGCTGGGGGCTGCCCCGTCCCAGGGTCTGGACCACAGTCGTTTCCTGTGTTTTGTCCTCGTTTTCAGGTGTTTCGGGCTGGAGGGGGCACCCGCGCCGGGTCCCAGCTTAGCCGGGCGTGGGCTCATGTTGCCTTGGCTTCCTTTGTTTGTTTTTTAATGTTTTTGTTGACTTCAGAGAGGAAGGGAGAGGGAGGGAGAGAGACACCAATGAAGAGAGAGCATCATGGGCCGGCTGCCTCCTCACACCCCGCACTGGGGATCGAGCCCGCAACCCGGGCCTGTGCCCCGACCAGGAATCGAACTGTGACCTCCTGGTTCCTAGGTCAACGCTCAGCCCCTGAGCCACGCCGGCCGGGCATTTTGCTTCCTTTAAACTTGAAGTTCTCGGTTACCAGACTCAACAGGTGAAAGAGGCCGACGACCCAGGCCCTGGGCAGCTGTGGCCGGTTCAGGAGAAGCCACTCACACAGGGCCCGGGCCCCAGCTCCACGCCCTCCCTCCTACGATCAGAGGGACTCCCGTTTCCCTGTCACCCAGACACATGCCTCCTCCACGCCTGCCGCCCCGCGCCATCCCAGGCCTTCCCGCCGGTCCCTGCGCCCGCATCGCCCCCGCATCGCCCCCGCCGGTCCCCACGGGAAGAGGGTGGAGAGCACGCCGCTCTGCTCCCGCCTCCGCCTCTTCGGCAGCCGCTGCTGGGCCCTGTGTGTCCGCTTTGAGAAGGACGCCTGGACTTCCAGTCCAGCGGAGTCAGTCCTGGTCTGACCCAGAAGTCCTCCAGCCCAGCCACTCCCTCCGGGGGACACAGTTTGCTCCCCAGACCCTCGGCCTTCCCCTCCCAGGACTACCCCCTTCGCCATCTCTTCCCGCCGAGCTGCTGGGTGATGAGGGCCGCCATGCCCCCCACTTTCCGATGCCCGTGTGCTCTCTTGCGTAGGAACAATCATTGAATCTGGAGACGGGATGACACACTTTGTGCCCATCATCGAGGGCTATCCGCTGCGCCAGTCGACCATGCAGATGGAGGTGGCAGGCCAGGACATAACCCTGTACCTCATGCAGCTGCTGTCCCAGAAGGGGAACTCTCTGGTGGGCATAGGTAGGGGCCCCGCGGTAGTGCCCTTCCTGGCTTGTTCAGCTTACAGCCCTCAGTTCCTGACGCGGAGGCTGCTTAACCATCATCCACGTTCCAGAAACAACCCATCTATGTCCAGGGACACTTAACTGATTGACGATGACAGTCATGATGATGTTGATGGTGGTGATGATGGTGATGATGGTGATGATGGTGATGATGATGATGATGGTGATGGTGATGGTTGTGATGATGGTGATGATGGTGATGATGGTGATGATGGTGATGATGGTGATGGTGATGATGGTGGTGATGATGGTGATGATGGTGATGATGGTGATGATGGTGATGATGGTGATGATGATGATGATGGTGATGGTGATGATGGTGATGATGGGGATGATGGTGATGATGGTGATGATGGTGGTGATGATGATGGTGGTGATGGTGATGATGGTGATGGTGGTGATGATGGTGATGATGGTGATGTTGATGGTGATGATGGTTGTGATGATGGTTGTGATGATGGTGATGATGGTGATGATGGTGATGATGGTGATGATGGTGATGATGGTGGTGTTGATGGTGGTGATGATGGTGTTCATGATAGTGATGATGGTGTTGATGATGATGATGGTGTTGGTGGTGATGATGGTGATGATGGTGATGATGATGGTGTTGATGGTGGTGATGATGGTGTTGGTGGTGGTGGTGACAATGATGATGGTGGTGATGGTGGTGGTGACAATGATGATGATGATGGTGGTGATGGCGGTGGTGACAATGATGATGATGATGGTGTTGATGGTGGTGGTGACGATGATGGTGGTGATGGTGGTGGTGACAATGATGATGATGATGGTGTTGGTGGTGGTGACGATGATGATGATGGTGGTGGTGATGGTGGTGGTATTGGGGGTGCTGACCCTTATGATGATTTAAGGTTTGCAGAGTACTTGTCCTATACAGGTACTGGGTTGAGTAAACATCTTACATACATTCTCTCATTGCTTCCTGCCACCAGCGGGAACAATGATCTCTATGCAAAAGGAAGAGGTTTAGGAAGGTTGACTAGGACCAAGAATTGAGCCTGCAGTTGAGGTACATGCCCTTGAACAGAATCAAACCCAGGACCATTCAGTCCGTGGGCCAAAGCTCTATCCACTGAGCCAAATCAACTAGGGCTTTTATCGTTATAAAAAATGTATATTTTTTGTCCTAGCTGGAATGGCTTAGTGGATAGAGTGTGGGCCTGCAGACTGAAGGGTCTTGTGTTCGATTCTGGTTAAGGGCACATGCCCAGGTTGCAGGCTCAATCCCTGGTAGGGGTTGTGCAGGAGGCAGCCAATCAGTGATTCTCATCATTGATGTTTCTATCTCTCTCTCCCTCTCCTTTCCTCTCTGAAATCAATAAAAATATATTTTAAAAAATATTTATATGAGGCAACCAATCTATGTGTTTCTTTCACATCGAAATTTCCCTCTGTCTTTCACTCTCTTTTCCACTCTCTCTAAAAGATCAATGGGAAAATATCCTCAGGTGAGGATTAACCCTCAAAAAAGTTTCTTTAAAAATGTATATTATATACAGACATACTGAATTCAGAGAGGAAGGGGGAGGGAGAGAGAGAGAAACATCAATGAGGAGAGAGAATCATGGATCGGCTGCCTCGTGCATGCCCCACACTGGGGCTTCAGCCCGCAGCCCGGGCCTGGGCCCTGACCAGGAATCGAACTGTGATCCCCTGATTCCTGGGTCGATGCTCAACCCCTGAGCCACGCTGGCCGGACGTTTTTCAAACATGTCCTCCTCGTTCAGGCATCACTATTCTGCTTTCTGGTCTACGAACCCAGGCCCCCGCACGCATCCCACCGAGAGGGGCTGGGATCTGAGACCCAAGTAGAAACAGTGTCCTACCGCGAGGAGTGGCCGACTTTGTGAGCCACCTCGCCTTCATCCCTCCTCCCCCGGCTCCCTCCTCCCAGGCGACCGGGAGTACATCCGGGACCTGAAAGAGAAGTGCTGCTACGTGGCTTTGAACTTCGACAAGGAGAAGGCGGCAGCCCCCTTGCTGACCCGGGCATGGACGCACCAGCTGCCGGACGGCCGGGAGATCGACCTCGGGCAGGAGATGTTCCTCTGCATGGAGGTGCTTTTCCAGCCGGACCTCATAGGTGAGCGGGCGGGAGGGCGTGGGCAGGTGCGCGTGGGCAGGCAGACACGGACCAGGGGACACGGATGGGAAGATGTGGACAAACAGACGTGGATGGGCGGACACGGACGGGCAGACGTGAACAGGCAGATGTGAACAGGTGGACATGGACAGGCGGACACGGACAGGCGGACACAGACAGGTGGACACAGACAGGCAGACTTGCATGGGTGGACACGGATGGGCGGACACGGGCAGGCAGACGTGGATG